TACATATCATGCTATTACTTGAAACTCGATTTTGTGCTCAATTCTCTAGGGGATACTTGAAAATCACATCCTTCTGACTCAGAGGCTACCTTTTGAGCCAAAGTGACAGTCAATATGTCATGAGAGAGCTTTGCTTTATTGTCTTAGATGCTACCATAAATCTGAATCCCACTACCATCAGCAGGAAGAGAAGAGCTTCAAGATGGTTGTGATTTATTTGAATTGTCCTTACTAACATTGTTCTGTTAATATGTGACACTCTGCAGGTATCATGGAGAAAGAATCCAGAACTACCAGCCAGTACAAAAAGCACGTCGACAAACCAAGCATTTGATTTCAACTGTGTACGATCAGCCTGAGGAAATAGACCAGGGTGACACTCTATTCCGTAGACAACCAGTGACCAGCATGAAGTACAGAATGGATGTGAAATTTGTCAAAGGATCAGAGCTAAGCACCCACACCCTTTTACGTCAATAGTAACATTCTCTAGCTGCTGGTACATACTCAGTGGAGTCTGGTACTTCTGTGAAATACAGTATTAGTCTTGGTACCTGCTGTGCCTTGGCACTGACAATGCAGCGAGGGGTAATATTCAGTCATAGGTGGAAACCATGGTCCAGGTTTCCCCAACCCCAACCAACATTGACCATAGATCAGCATACAACCTGGAACTACAATACAGTAAACATGGTCGCTGAACAGCTGAGGGACTGAATGAAGTTCTAGCAAAACGATCAAAGGAAGATCAGTAACAACTCTTTGTATTTATATGCCTTTGCCATAGCAGACAGATATCTCTCAGAAATGCTTCCCAGGAAAACTATCAGAAAAACATTGTCTTCATGTTAAAAGAGAACTTGGGCAAGCTGACAGCTCGGAAAGGAGATGCACAAAAGGCCATGGTTGAAGGCACGAAGAGATTTAAAGAGAAGACTAAAAATTATAATTCAGAGGTATCAGGGACCAGGAGTTTCGATCATGGACATAAACTCCCACCCCTCACCCTTAATCCATTCAGAGTAAAGCCTGCTTTCTACCTGTTTTGCACTACATCTGTAGGTCAGAAGATAGTTATTAATGGGACAAGACATTCGGCTCATCTAAATTCTTCCTAAAGTTCCCAGTGTTTCTGGAGTTTTTGCCTCCATGTGTCTATTTGGATTGATTCCAAGTGTTAACTGAAGAAGAATTTCATGTCATCAAATTGAACCTGTAACACCATCCAGTTTCTATACTGAAAATATTTTAGGCTAACATTTTCAATGCCTTTAACAACCTTATGCACACGTACACAGCCACTCCGTACAAAACCCATTTCCAGATTGATTGATTTAGCTCAAGTCTCACCGGTTGTTCCTGATAACTCACTGTGGCACTGAAGTTCAACTCTTCCCAACATGGCCTCCAGTGTTTTAATGTTTCTTGTGTCTTTACAATCACATTAGTACCTGGTAGCAAGAGATGGTCTGTCCAGAGTCTTCTGTAGTTTGAGTACTTGTAGCCTGTGTAGTTCGATGTTTCACAGACGTTGTCATTGCTTTGCTTTAGATTGACATATTGACTTTACAAAGCTATCCAGCTTTATTCTGAGCTTGTGTATCTCCATTAATGCATTTTGTGTAACTTATGTTTCTTTCCTAATTCTGCATATTGTCACATTTGCCTGCATTAAGTTCCAATTCTCTTTAACATTATTGAATGACACATCACAGAAGATGACCACTTGACCCGTGAAGTATGTGCCAGCAGTTTGGTACTGCTTTTCCCCAATCCCATTTTTTCCCCTTCAAGTATTTTACCAATTCTCTTTTGAAAATTACTAGTTAATCTGTTCCACCCTACTTTCAAGCAGTGAATTTCAGATTACAACTCACTGTATAAAAATGTTTCCATGTTGTTCTGCCCAGTTAAGTATTTCAGTTATCCATTCTGCTATTTGAGTTGCCTCTACCAATTTTACCACTCCCCAGTTTGGAATTTTCAACCAATACAAATCTAACCACTTTGTACAGAGTTTTTGAACATTTCTGCATTTATGCACAGGTACTGGATATGTGGTGATTTTGGTACATGAAACCCTTGATCCCTCTCTACTCATCCAGTTCCTAGCTCTTTGCCATATAAAAAAAAATCTGATCTATCTTTCCTAGCTCCTAGGTTCAAAGTAGATGATCTCATCCTTCCTACCTTTAATATGGCAAAACTGTGGCAAATGGATTTCAGTGTTCCTTTGCAATATTCCCTATTTATTGTTTCCTAAATTGGTATCAGCTGCAAACTTAAAATTTGCAGCCTTCTCTAAATCTTCATCTTCCTTTAGAAAGTGAAAAGTTGTGACTGTGTGGTCATGTTGGATTACTGAAGAATGGTATTCCAGTCATAGAATATATTAAGTTAAGCTGAAAGCTAATAGGATTCAGAAAAAGAAATAATACAGAAAGTGTAAGGGTGGGACAGATAAACTACGAAGCAATTAGTTTTTTTTTAGTCTACCATCTCTGAGCAAGTTACTAGAATCTTTACAAAGTGACTGTGTTTCTTCAGTTGTTCAAACTGATCATAACTTATGTGAGTTCTTTCAGAAGAGTAAGTCATGCTTAACTAACCTAGTTGAATTTTTGAGTACGTAATTAAGGTGGTGGATTAGGAAATATCCCAGAAGAAGAAACCTCAGACTCCATGTTGAGTCCCATCAGTGTCATGGAAAATATTGTAGTTAGGAACTTTTTATTTTGTATAAAAATCTTATGTACACAAAAATAAAATACTGCAGATTCTGGAAATCTGAAATAAAAACACATGCTGGAAATGCTCAGCAGACCATTCTGATGATGAGTTGTC